AAGAGTCATTAAGAAGATTAAAATTAAAGTTCCCTCAATAAAGTTTGCTCCCTTCTCTGAGCCTGCTGATAAGATGCCTGAAGTAGTTTTGATTCCAAACTACATTAGTCCTAAAGATTGAGCGTTCCACGAACCTGGAAAGACTAACTCTAGGAGATGAAAGTTCTTGAAATCAAGTAACTTTTTTTTACATACTAGCTGCATTTGGTCTTATGCAACGAACTTCAATTTCAAGCTCTTCTTTCCCGAATATATAAGATTAACCAATTCCGCTTCAAGTTGTCCCTAATCCTTCAAAAGGTGATGTCAGAGTTTCTCGCATTAACATCAGTCTCCCGAATACACCATCAGATGGTGATTTTTTAGATATATCGAAACGCGGGTAGGATTCTTTTTTTTTTTTGTTTATCTCTTCTTCTCTCTCTTTTTAAATATCTCCATCCTTTTTGTAAGTTTTCCAAGCATTCCTGAAGGATTGAATTTTTTTATGAATCCAAACTCTTTGCAAGATTGGCGAGAATGATGGTAGGATCGGTACGCTTTACATGATTTTCACAGCCCATCTTGCAAATACCCGAGTGCAATTAATGAAGGCATTTCAGCGTTCAACGTTGGTGGTTTCCAAGATGAAGATGAAGTTAATTATGAGACTGCGAGAGCTAACATGATTAATGAATAAGTTCTAGCTGCTCCACCTTTATCGGCTTTAGTTATCATTCTGCCTTTAGAAACAAATACTAATCGGGTAGCTCCAATTCATTCTTTCATGGCTGGTCCCTCGCTTGGGATAACTCAAAAGTCTCTTTACTTGAAGGCTACTTTGCAAGAAGACTTACTAATTATTTTCAGAAGTTTTTTAGGGACGTCCTAAAGCATAGGTTTTCAAACATCCGATCTTGGTAGGACAAAAATAATGTAATTCTTCAAAACGTGATTATCAACTCATTCAGTGCAGATCCATCACCTTTGATGAAAAGTATGGACATGTTACTTAAAGAAGTTGACATTTATTTATCTGAAAGAAAGCAACAATTCGAGTGTCCAACCACCGAAGAAAAGGCTGAACAGTTGAACCTTTTAAATATTCAGCTGGAAGTGAAAAATTCCATGTGTTCTTCATTGGAAGATAAAATTAATCAGCTAACTTCCGAGCTGGACAAACTTAGTGATGAACTTCAAACCCGTCAGGAACAGAAGAGTAATCTTGGAACTACAAAGGCCACATTG